AAAGTGTGCCTCCTTCCCCTCTCTCTAAGTTCTCGCAAAATGAGTTTTATTTAATTATTTTTTTTGATTTTAGAGAGAGGGGAGAGATAGAAAAACACATCAGTTTGTTGTTCTACTTATTAATGTATTCATTGGTTGATTCTTGTCTGTGCCCTGACAGGGGATTGAAGTGAACACTGAGAAGTACTGTGAGAACTCCAGGACAGTTGGAAGTAGATTTTGTATTTATTAGTTTGTGTTTAGGGCAGCTAAATGAATGGTAACTCTACCTGGACAATCTTTTTAATGGGATTGTCCCTCTGGATTGAACTGCTGCTTTAAAAAATTACTCCATCTTAATCCTTTGGTTTTTGGATAAAGCAAAGTAGTGACTCTGTGATCAACACATTGTAATAAAATAAAAGACAGATTATAAGAATTTGACCAAAGTATATATTCTTGTAGGTCATATTTTAAAAGAAAATAAAGTAAAATACATTATAATAAAAATTTGATCAAGATATAGAGTTTGTTGTGGATCATTTTTGTTTGTTTCATTAGAAAGGGAACTACATTAAGAAACAAAAGGGTTTACATTCTAAAATCCTCCGTAAGAGATTAAATCTTGTTAGCATCTGCTGGTAATTAATATTTAAAAGTTAAACATCAAACCTCTAACAAACTAAATTTGAATAATTCTTATAATAGTGGAGAACTGTAATTGAAAAAAAATGTATTCAGGACTCCCTCCACCCCCCTATCCCCACCTCTGGAAATACGAGCACCCAGGATTTGCCAGTACAGATGAAATCTTTTCTGAAGCATGGGAACTTCATGTCAGCTGACCCAAAATCATTTGTCTTGCCTCCAGCATTTCTAGTTTCACTCTTAAAACTCAGAACACAAAGACAGTATGTTTGGGGAATATAGTACATATTTGGAGCCAAACTGTCAGGAGAACAGGATTGGACAGGACAAAACACACATTTGCTGTGGCTCATTCAGCTGTTGCCACTTTCCCCGGAAGGACCATCATTTTTAAGGCTTGACACACAGGAACTTTTGGTTGCTTTAGATTCTACCAGTCACATGAATATGGCTAAAGTAAGAAATGGGCCAGCTTTCATCATAGACTTAAGAGTGTTCTCTGCAAATTTGTTAGTAAGTTGGCACATTATCAAGAATAAAAACTCCCTCCAAATTATCTACAATTCATGACCTGATCCTCTTAATTTCTAAACATAGATCAATCTTTAGAACATAAACAACCCCTTATATTTTTATATTCCTTGAGAGCACTGAAAGAATTCCCATTTAGGATTGTCATTTAATTTTCATAGTATACCTCCAAGGTCGACAAATTGGGTATTATCAGTATCCCCTTTAATTGGTAATAATACTGTGGCTCCGAGATCAATTAGTATGGCTAAGCTTCCAAACACGACCTACCTTCCATCCCCCCTTGTATTGTTAATTTTGCTATTTTCTTCTCTAACATAATTTAAAAATACAAAAGGAAAATATAAAGTTACAGCTGCAAATTACAAACCTATCTTATTGACTTAAAACTCTGAAATGAACAAAAATGAAATCTTACCTCTCTCGAACATTTCCTTCTCACACAGTATGAATTCGGTTGCCAGGGAGCTTTCAGTTATTAAGGGAAGGGTACATACACAGTCGACCCTTGAAAAACAGAGATGTGAACTGTCTGGGTTCCCTTAAATCAGTTTTTTTTGTTTGTTTGTTTTTTTAAAATAAATACAGCCAGCCCTTTCTATCCCGGATTTCCTACCTGCAGATTCAACCAACCGTGGATAGAAAACAGTATCTTCACATTCCCAACTGTAGATTCCAAACCCTGGTTGTACCTGTCTGTGGATTGTATAAATTTTGGGGAGTTAAGTTGGGTACAGCATTAGCCTGTGCATGGAAGGGTCTCAGGTTCAATTCCCAGTCAAGGGCACCTACCTGGGTTGCAGGTTTGATGGCCCTGGTTGGGGTGTGTGCAGGAGGCAACTAATTGATGTATCTCTCTCACATCCATGTTTCGCTCTCTCTCTCCCCCTTCTTCCCTCCCTCCCTCTTTTCCACTCTCTAAAAAAAAAAAAAAATCAATGCAAAAAAATTCCTAGGGTGAGGATTAACAACAAAAAAAAGTATGTGGGAATTTTTGACTGAGCAGGGGGTCCGATTTAAAAAGCATTTTTATAAAACAATATGTATGTACCTGATTGTTGGGCTTATACATATAGAAATGTAATATATGTGTAATATAATCACCAACAGCACAAATGAGATGAATGAGCAAAACTATATTAGCCTGAAGAAATGATTGCAGATGGTAAAATAACAGTTACAACAATGCATTGTTGGATTTGTAACATGAATAGTTGTAATATGTAGGCATTGCCTAGAAAATACTTTCATTATATGTAGTACTACATGAGAGTAAGTTTAGATATTATATGGTACAATTCATTATATTCCTTGCCAAAACAAAAACACTAAAAACAAACAAACCTCAAAAACACCCAAATATAAGGAATTTCTTCTTTTGGCTACTTGTATTTGCTGCTCTGACAGCCAGGATAAAAATATGTCTGAGAGCTACTTCTCCTTGGTTTATACTGGGGTCCTGGTTTCAGAGGCCTAAACTTCTTAAAAAGTTTCTTCCCCTTCTTTTATAATAAAAAAAATACCATAGCAACGTAAAGGATAACTTTTAAAACTGGACCTCCCCCAACCCCCCCCCGCCCCCCTCTTGCAAGTTGGCTGATTATATACACACACGAGGGAGAAGATAGCTGCATGCAGCTGTGAGCTGCAAGTGTAACCTGGAAAGGGGAGGGCAGGGTCTGCAGTCTGGCCTTCAGAGCTCAAAGCCCTGAACAAGGTGGCTAACCTTCTATGTTACAAACAATTCAGCCTGTTCCTGGGATCGGAGAATTGTCAGTGTTCTGGAGGCAAACTCCTGGAGGGGGTCAGGGTCTGGGCACAGCAACCAAATCAAAGCGTGTCCTGTCCTTGGCCTGTTCTCAAAATACATATATTTTTCTGAGCAATGGACCTATTGAGGCATCTTATCTTTTTAAACCGTTTCATCCTCCAGTTTCCCAGGGTAAGAAAACTTATCTATAGCTAGTAAGGTGAATAATTATTAAACAACTGTGGCTCCATCCTTACTACATGCCCCACTATTGCTTTGACAAAAAACTTCACTGTATTTATTCCCTTCTGGTTTTATTCCATAGGCATTCACATTTTATTTTATGGAGGTGTAATCACTTACCTATATTTTTGTACTTGGTATTACATTGGATATTAGCAAATTTCATTATCATTCGTGATAGCATTACATATATTCAGGGATATCTAAGTATTTTCTTGTGTCCATCCCACCTGCCCATTCTATTTGGTAGTGGTGGAAGTAGGAGGCTTGGGGCCTAGACTTCCAGACTCAAAGACAAACCAGAATATACCAGAAAAGAACACCACACACCAAAATCTTGAACTTTGGTGAATATAAATGGTCTGACTTGACCAAAGTTTTAAACTTGTATTTACATAATTTGAAATTAAGTGTTTAAATACAAACATTTATAAACATCACCTGAAAAGGTTTGTAATATAAAAGGCTAATTAGAAGTTTTGATTTAAAGTCTATGAATCCACCAAGTTGGCAGGTACATTTAAAATTTTCGAACTACCAGCTACCCTTCTTACCTTTTTAATTAGCTGCCTTAAGCAGTAATTTTAGAAATAACAACTCTAGATTCATTTAGTACAATAGCTGAAATTTACAGTTTATCACTAGATGCAAAATATCAGATTTAAACAGCATTTCTTCCATTTTTCTAATGTAAGAATCTCATTTCTTAAAGCATACTACTAAAACTTTTTAATAGATGTTATATAATTGTATTTTGCAAGTTCAGTACATGGCCTACAGGAGGAAATAGAGGGTATAAAATCATTTCAAGTCTTATCTGGCTCTAATGAAAAAAACCAGTTTAACAGCTTTTAGCTCATTGACATTCAAAAACTATGCTTTACTTTTTTTTTTTATAGGATTGCTTTTCTCTTTTTTTAAAAAATATTTTATTTCAGAGAGAAAGGGAGAGGGAGAGAGAGAAACATCAATGATGAGAATCATTAATTGGCAGTCTCCTGCATGTCCCACACTGGGGATTGAGCCTGCAACCTGGGCATGTGCCCTGACCTGGAATTGAACCATGACCTCTTGATTCACAGGTCGATTCTCAACCACTGAGCCACCTGGCCAGGCCCATAGTTATTTTTTATACTGAGCTCTAATCTGCCATTTTCACTTTGTTCTACTCTGTCAAAAAGAATAAATCAGTTTCTGAAGTTGGCTTCTATATTATTTCTAATAAAGCTAAAAACTCCAGATTTTGTCTGCAAACTTTTGACAAATGCAGTTTCATATTTCTAGCAATGGCTTTCTATTGTTTCAAGGACAGTTATCAGGGTCCATGATACCACATATAACTGTGCCCCTACTAGCTTGCCAGCCTCATACCATCCTTTCCATTTGACCCCTGGCCAATCTTAATTTTAAATACACCATTCTTCTTCCAGGCTTCCACATACTATTCCCCTCAGCCAGTAATGTTTCACCTTGGCCACACAGGTTTAGTCATTTTTAAAGCGCAGTTGAAAAACTACTTCATGGGACTCTACCTTATACTGTGAAGTCTATGAGACATGGCCAATGTCTATCTTTATCAGGCCTAAGGTTTTGCAAGCTTTAAACATGCAATAAATATTCATTGTATGAATATGGAATTAATCAAAGAAAACACTCAGCTAAACTCTGGGGTGTATGTTGTACAAAGAAGGAATTGTATAGGCTCCAAGACAATCTTGAAAAAGAAAAACCCCTCCAAAGGAAAGAAGTAATAAAATTTAGAAAACTATAGAACTATTAAGATGAACAGTAACTTTTCTTCACCCTTTATAGGAGGTAGAGAACATGGAAGAAGGCAAACAAGCACAGCTGAGTGGTATATTTGTTTTACTGTTAATTTGACACATCTGATCCAAAGCATTCACAATACTTGATATACTTTGAAGAGAATCATATACTATAGTCTTAGACATAACCGCAGAACAAGCAGAACAATTAAAACTACGTAAGGCCTTAAAAATATCCACAGTGTGTATTATTTCAATATCATTCATTTACAAGTTAGACTACATACCATTAATTTATTTTTTCTTTTTCTTTCATTTTTTAAATTCAGGAATGATTCATTCAAGGAAAGGCAACTTAGTTTTTGTTTGTTTTATTTTTTACTACATTGGTTAATATAAAAGTTATGAATTAAATGTTTTCTGATCTCCTACATCAGGAGTGAATCCATGAAATTCTTAGATAATAATCCAAACCAATAGGTCCTATTGTTAAAAATAGCCAAAGTGAAAAGGGACTAAAGCCAGTCTGTGGTCTTGAAGAGCATCCAATGGACTTTCAGGTTTTCTTATGATGAAGAGTACTGCAAAATTTAAAACAACGTTGCATACAAAAGTCATTCTTGAAGCTCTAAATGCCTTTTAAATAACTAAAATAAAAATTTTAAGTAGTTGCCTCACAGTACCAAACTTATAAATCAAAACTAGTTAAAATTCAGTGCTATCGTGACTTCTCATTTACAAGGTAACTAGTTGGTAAATTAACAGATGGCATAAAAATTAAGACTTAAATCATTTTTTTTTTTATTTTTTAGAGGAGAAAATGTATGATAACCAGGGAATACAGAAAATCCAATGTACTTTACAATAGAATAACTGTTTACACCTCTATTCCTGTACAACAGGGTTTAGGTCATCTCTTGTAAATTTGTGTGTTTTCTCAGTACTTAAATTGTTTCAGATATACAGCTTTTTATTGAAAGAATATTACATTTGTATACCAGGATAAGATTTGGTACATTGAGATGTTTTAAAAATATTTATAAATTTGTTTCTCATATGCAAAAGCATTTGGCAATACTTTTACAGCATTTGATTTCATAGAATTAAAATTTCATACAGTACTTATATCTTGATGTTAAAAAAAATTCACAGAAAAAAATATAAATTACACAGCCCGACTGCATGACACTGTTATTTCCAGTTATAGTTCTGGTAATTAAAACCTTCATTAAGTCTGTAAACAAATCATTACCTGTACATTTATGAAGGCAACTGACATGATTTGCAAACAAAACCTTCAGGTTTTATGTTCTTTACCAAAGAGTGCAGTTCAGCAAAAGAAAACCCGGTATGCAAATTTACAGATTTTACAAATTTACCAATTCCTGTGACACAAACTGTTTCAACCTTTCAAGGTATTGTCCATAAAGTTCCACATCATTGTGACCTGCCCCTTCAACCCACAGAGGCTCCACAGGTCTTTGGCAACGCTCAAACAATGCAAGGCCATGTGAAAAGTCAATGACTTCATCTTCAGTCCCATGAATTATTAATACTGGAGAGGTTATTTTAGAGATTTTGTCAATACTGTAGAGAAAAAGGAGGGGGAAAGTCAATGAATTAACTATGAAAAGGAATGTAAAACAAACTTTCTTGTGCTATATCAGAGAGATAATTCAAAAACCAGAATCTATCCAGAAGGAATTTAAAATGATTCAAACCCTACAGCACTTTACATACAATGTTCATGTCTTGCACAGAAAAACTGAGGTTGCAAGGAAACTAAGGACCATTTCAAGTATGCTAATTTCATACCTTTCTGCACTCATATATGGCAGGATTTTTGTTTGTTTGTTTTAAGGTATTAACTCACAAAAATAGAGCAAATGTAATAAAACATAAAAAATTTTGGAGTTGAATAGTAGATAGGAGAAAACAATTTTTATGAGGACAGAAGATAAAGTGAAGAACCAACCCAATTTATACCATGGAATACAGGAGAAAACTAGGAAATGACAGGGGGGTGAAGGTGGGTGATTGAAGTATTTACAATTTGTTCAAAGAAATAATTTAGGTCCCTCTCTGTCAGCGTCTTTCCCTACTTTTTGCAGCAGGGTAACTGCACTCCACCCAAAACTGTGGGGTTTGTAGACTAAGGGATTGCCAGACACGGTTTAGGGCAGAGGTATCAGAGGCCAAGTGGGCATGTACATACTGGCTGCTGTGAACCCTTTCTCCCTACTGGGCTTCCAGAACTGGCATCCAGGACTTCATTCACCAAGGGGGAGTTTTAGAAAGTCTTCTTTGGAGACTATACCCACTTTAAAAGGAAAAATATATAAATATTGGTATGGGGGTTCGGGTTGGGATCCCCAATTAATTGGCTTGACCAGATCACTCTACAGTGAAGCTCACAGTCAACAAGTCTTAATCACCCGCTTCAGATCAGCACTTTAGTTCCTCTTCCTTACTGTGAGCAGACAATCAAGAATTACCAGACATCAGAGGATTACACTAACATAAGACAGAGATCAAAACAATCAGAATTTAAAAGGCAACACAAAGGAGACATAAATTACAGAGATTACACATAAAGCAAAACAAAAAACTTAAAAAATTCAGAGAGAGAGGGATAGGGAGGGAGGCTTGGGGGCACTATAATCATAAAATGAGGACAGAATTATAAAAAGTAAAAACATTATCAATGAAATTATTCAAGGCTGCATTTGGTTAAGGAAAGAATGTTTGGGTATATTATTTGCTGTCAGACAATTCAATACTAAAGGTCTTTTTCTAACAGTAAACTGTTAGTGCTGTCCTCTCTGTTGATGCAATAATGAAAGAGGGAGGCAGACAAGAGAGATAAATTTTACAGCAATAGTATTACCTCAAATACCTTCCTATCATCTCTATGATTCAGCTAAACAGAAGCAATGTAATGGACATACCTTCCAACCTACCATTATCTAAAACAAAAACAAACCGAAAATAAAAATCAAATTCCCTCCAATAGCCTGTTCTGGTGATAAAATCACATGTACTATAAGCATCCCTTCAAAAGTGACTTCTGACTTGCTAATGATGAAAAAAAAAAAGAAGTTTTTAAAATGACCCTTGATGTTCTTATAAAGAATCAAGTGATGCCCTAGCTGGTTTGGCTCAGTGGATAGAGTGTCGGCCTGTGGACTGAAGGGTCCCAGGTTCGATTCTGGTCAAGGGCACATGCTCGGATTGCAGGCTTGATCCCAAGTAGGGGCCGTGCAGGAGGCAGCCAATCAATGATTATCACTTATGTTTCTTTCTCTTTCTCGCTCTCTCTCTCCTCTCTCTCTCTCTGAAATCAATATTAAAAAAATTAAAAAAAAAAAAGAACTAAGTGATGACTTGGCCTTTGGTCCATCTATCATTCATAAAAAGTATCCTCTTTAATGTTGCCAATTAGGCAAAGAAAAGAAAACTTAAATTTGCCAGATTCTCACTTCTTGAATTGGTGGGAACTACCATCTTGTCTTAAGAAGCAGTAGAAGTATCCCTTCTTTCAAATTTGTCTAACACCTTATGTTTGTAGACTTTATGGTGGCAATACTTACCCTAGTTCATTTAAGACTCAACTTTTTTTGCAATTCACACTTTTGTCAATCAGATACCAATACATATCACTCATTTTTATTCACACGTGTCTCATTTTTCCTCTACTTGTTCCTTTCTTTCAGTATTGTGTCTCAATGAATGGTATCACCACCCAGGGAATTATGTTCAAGTTCTTTTACTTAGTTAGCATTCTATATCCAGCCTGACATTTAGTTCTATCAATCTTGTTTCTCAAAATCATTTTGTCTCTAATACTAATGCCATTGTCGGGTTAAAAGGCCCTCAGTACTTTGCACCTGAATCACTACTGCTCAAACATTTCAGTTTCCTGACTGGTGTCTATTACCACCTGCTTAAGTTAATTTTTCACAATTTCTGTAAGATATGAAAAATATTAGCTCATGGGTGAGTGATTTGTATCATGAATACCTTAAGTGATGGGCTAAAATTCCCCTCAAAAGTTTCTCTGAATTCAAGTATTTTGAATATTGGTACTTACTTTGGGAATGCATCAAAACAGTAGGTTTTCTTGGTATCAGGAAAAGCAACTCGCATTCCTGAGGTCAAAGGAGAATGAAGAATAACAGCAGCACTCTCGTATCGAGCAGCAAGATCCACAGATGGTACTGTCCCTATACTTTGGCCATATATAATCACATTTTCAGGGCGAATGCCATATCTACAAAGTTCAGAAATTGAAAAAAAAAAAAAAAGGGTTGGACTGGTATGGAAATGTTCAATCATCCCTAACAACTTAACTTTATAACCGATGACTTAGACAATGTCAACAAATTTATATTTAAACTTTAAGTTTCTTAGTCATCACTATTATATTTAATGCTATAGTAAAATCTATTGTCTTAGCTTATTTCATTTTTCAATTTAATCATTTGGAAAAATTGCTGAGGTATTTTTAAGTTTCAATCTTAAAAATTTTGTATTAAACCATTTATATAATTCAATATAGCATATTATTGACTAAATTTGGAAAATATTATCACTAATATTTTAATGACTGATATAGTATTTACCTTCCATTAAATGTAAGAAACATTACTTCTCTAGACATCAAAAGTAGATCGTTTCCTTTTCTGAAGTTGGTCATATTGGTGAAAATGTAACATATAGTTACAGTATAGAATGAATGTACACATTATTTTAGTCAATAGCAAATTACTATATTTCTTGAAATCTGCCTTTACTTACCATAGAAATGGATTAGTGATTGAAAAGATAGATGAATGAAAATTCCAATGACATACAATTCAGTTAACTATGAATAGACTTCATGCTAAAATCTCAAGAGTATTGCTTTCTTCCCTTTAAAAAGGGTTCGGATTTAAATACGTAAACTCACCGAACTCAGTAATATTGGGTACATACTATGTTCCAGGCACAATTACCTGTCTACAGTGTAATTGTCCCAACTATAAACTACTGCAAGTGCAAGTGAGACGCTACAGGAGCTAATGAATGTGGGGTTAAGGGTTAAGTGACATCAAATATGCCTTTCCACTTCAGTATCACTTCTGGCTGCTAAGGGCCATTTGATCAACAGCTTTTAATCTTTTGAAAAGGTAATAGAGCTTTCCAAATTATCTGAGCATTCACCAGGAAAGAACAAGACAAGCCCTGTGTGCTCCCTATGGCCCTTTCCAGGGGCACACGCCTATTTGAACTATCCAGCTAATGACATCCCCTCCCATAGTTTCTTTCAATCAGTCCTACATTCAAGCATTTGGATATTTCCAGAGTTTGGGTTCCATCTACTCCAGACTGACTCTCAATGTAAGTAAACTCAGAAAAGTTTTCTTTACAACAGACCTGGCTGTGCATACTTTATAGGAATGAAAATTGGGAAAATGAACATTTGCAGCATCAGCATAACTCTTAAGGCTGCACAGATGCTGTTAGCTGAGTAGCAGCATTGTTGGTGGCAACTATAGGTTTTAGGCTAAAGTTAGTGATGGGCAAGGTTCCAGAGCAGCAGAGGCAGCTGCCAATATCACATCAGAGGACTCCAAGCAATAACAGAATTTCAGAATAAAAGTTAGAAAAGACTTTAGAGACGATCTACTCTGGTTCAGCTGCTTACTGAGCAGATATTCAAAGTCAGAGTAAGTTAGTGACAGACCTATAATTTGAACCCAGGAATCCTGACTCCCAGTCCAGTGTTTTTTCTATTACAACACAAAGATAATGATTTCAAAATTTGTAGGTGAAGGCTGCATAGTGAATATTAGTCCCTTATTTTCTCTCGCTAGATCAGAAGTTCAGAAACTTAGGGTTATTATCAATTATCTTAAAAAGAAGACCAGACCATTCAAGTAATAACCACTTAAACTCATTATTTACTTTTCCCTTCCTGATTACTTAAGAAGCACTAACAATAAAGGCTGTCTGCTTTAACTTAGCATCTTTAAGAAACATACTAGTCCACTGGAGTTACCCTTTAAAATAGTGAATTATAGTATATAAATTGTATCTCAATAAATCTGTTATTAAAGAATATATTACTGCCCTGGCTGGTGTGGCTCAGTTGGCTGGGCATCATCCTGTGCAGTAGAGATTATTGGTACAACTCCCAGTCAGGGCACTCAATCCCTAGTGGGGGACATACAGAGGCAGCTGATCAATGTTGCCTTCTCACATCAAAGTTTCTCTCTTCTCCCTTATACTCTCTCTAAAAACCAACTTTGTCATTTAAGGTGGTTTTTAACATTCTGTTCTTCTACCCAACCCTGAACTCCTTCCCTACTACTTATATTACTTACCATCTATTTTTTTTCTTATTCATCAAATACGTTTTCATATCATTTCAACTGATTTAAGAATCCTCTTTATATAGAACTTTGCTATGAGAGTTGAGTTTTATTACATATCTTGGAGGGGTAAATGGTTCTAAAGACATTTTCCAAAAAAGGCTATGCCTACTAACAAAATTGAAGTGGTTCTTAACTAACTGAAATAATTCATATTTAAACATTAAATTAAGATACATTGTTTTCTTTTTCTTTATATTTTCATATCTCTCTAGTTCTTTTTTTAAAATTTAATTTTGATTGTTGATACTATTATAGATGTCCCCATTACCCTCCTCCTCCCCACTGCCCTTGCCTACCTCTACCCAGTCCCCACCAACTCCTTCCCTCTGGCCATCACCATACTGTTGGTCTGTGTCCATGGGTTATGTATATATGTTCTTTTTCTTTTCTATATGTCCTTAGCTTCTATCTAAAATACTGTGGAAGTCAGGCAGCTTATCAATGTCTAATAGGAAGAATAACTCATACTAAGATATCTACTTACTGCATGCTAAATAATGAGATAATACACTGAAGTTTACAAAATTGCATTATTTTTTTAGAAGATTTGTAAGTATCCTGGTGAATAGGTAAGACTAATACAATTTCTAGCTTCCAAAAAAATGTAGTTATAAACAAAGAATAACTGACATAGTAACAGAAATTATGTAAATGATTTATCATAGCATTAACTTTTCTTCACTTGAGAGCCTCTCCAAATTTTGAGTCCAGAATGAAAGTAAAATCTGTTTTATAGAATGAAAACTTTAAAAATAGTTCCATTAAGATATCTTTAAGCCACATCTTCTAGGAGATAATTATATAGAATAATGCAAACCCTGGCTTAGGATTTTGACAAAAACAATGCTTCCTCTTACACTGTTAATGACAGGTCAAGTCAATGAGTAATTAGCTAAATCACATTTTCTCTCAATCTCATAAAATGCTGCAATTTTGAAAAAACATTTTTTATATCACACTTTAATAAATTCAATTACAATCTAATTTTAACTCTTCATAGGTATATAATGGCAAATATAGTCTCTATTTAGCACTTTAAAACGTGTTATAAAAAGTTTTTATTCTATTCTAATATAAGACAATTTTCCCAAGTGTGGAAAATAATTCCCAATCACCATTTACCTTGTCCTAAGAGCAAGCCAAGCAGCTTCTATGTCTGCATAGAGGTTCTTCTCCGATGGTTTCCCAGAACTTGCACCATATCCAGAATAATCATATGAGAATATATTACAGTTAATCCGTGATCCCAATCCTATGTAAAAGCTGCTCATCTGACCAAGATCAACAGCATTTCCATGTGAGAAGAGTAAGGTGTATTTGGCATTGGGTGAGCAACGCACAAACATGCAGGCAATTCTGTTGCCTTTACTGGTTCTAGTCATGAAACATTCCATAGCATCTTTTTCTCTAGAAGAATACTGCCAGTCAGCTCGTTCTGATAGGTGTAAAGTCCAGCGGCTTCCACTTTCATCACACATTAGTGTGTAAGTTGGATCAGGTGGCAAAAATGCTAATTTTGAAGCAATTTTTCCTGGACAAGGTGGACAGCAGAAGAGGCAACATAGCTCACTAAATGAAAGATTATTCATCTTCTGAAAAAGAAAAGAAGATAGCAAATGTTTTAATCACTGAATTGTGCATTCTGCATTCTCATACAATAGAAAGTTAAAACAAAGACACCAGTAGCCAGTGTCTACTACTTTTATTTCAAGTTATCTTCAACCAAAACAGATTTTGAGAATCTTTCTAGAAATACTGTAATTCCTGGATGAGGCAAATGTTCCTGATCAGGAGAGAGACTATATGTTTCAAATAGTAATGATTATATTTTAAAGTAACCAAAGTATGAAAAATACAAGAGTAGAAGTAATGTTTATTTCCTTACAAATATCAACACAGTAAGTATAAAATAAGTATCTTTAGTATAGTTTGTAAGATCTGTGAAAATTCTCAGAATCTCATGGAGAAGCTAGGGAATTAACATAATAGTAAATATGTAATACAGTTATTACTATTTGTTACTATTGTGCTAGGTGTTCTATGCATATTTCCATGTTTAATCCTCGAAACAACCTTATATGTTGGTCTCTCACAGCTTGAGGCAGTGGTGGAGTCAGGATTTGACACCTGGCTCAATCACTATGCTGTATCACTGGGCTACACTGTCAAGAGCTCTGAACACTATTATAACAGAATCTTATCATTTTAGCCACAGTGCCAGAGGCCCAAATAACTTATAAAACATTAAATGTATGCATGCATGTAATCAATGCCAATATTAAAAAGGCTGTAATATAAAGTACATTACGGAAAAAGGTAAAATCTTATAAAAGTAAAATTTCTAAAATGGTTAGGTGGGAAAGAACAAAAATATTTGTAGCCAGAGATGGGGGTGGAATCCCAACTCTACCACTTACTAGCCATGTGTCTTTGGGTAAATTATTTGCCTTTTTTACTCTCCTTGTTTTTATAAGTGAGGCCAATACCTATACTGAACACAGTGGCTGTGAAGAACAAGTACAATAATATAGTTTAGGCACACAAAAGAGTAATGGCCAGATAGTTGGCTCACTTAGGAATGTTCCACCTTCTTCTATGTCTTTTTTATTAATATTTAGAAAACATCCACCTCATATTAACTCAGGAACAAAAATAAATACTTGTTTGCCCTACCAGCATTTCCTTCTATGTTTTCTTTTCTCAAATTCTTATGTTCTTTTAGCAATAAAAGACCTTTGCTTAGTTCCTGGTACCTAATTTTTACCAAAAAAATCTAAATACAAGGATAGGAAAAACTGTACATTATACCAAAAATGAGTGACTAAATTACCTCAGGAGTGACTAAAGAGGTGAAAATATTTGGAAAGAAAAGAATGCCCTTTTCACTTACTATTGAATTAAAATCTAATTTGTATTGCTCAATACAAGTGTGCTTATTTCTTACTTTGAACTAATTAGGTAGAAAGAAGCAGAAACAGCACAGATAGAAACAAGAGTTGGAGCAATATAAAAGGCTTTAAAAGAAAGTCTGTCTCTTGGATACTGGGAAACAATTTTACTTGTTATTTTACCTTTACTCCTCTTCAGCCGTCAAAGCAAATATAGCCTGAATATGTTAATGTCTTAGTCTGATTGGAACAAGAGCTAGAACAAAAATGACAACTGGGTATTGTCTCTAGTGGCAAACTCCCTGAAGTGTTATGTGCTAAAAAGGATTCTGAGGGCATACCCAGGGCTTGGCAGGCAAAGAATGTGTGATAAATTAGCAATGTTTACGACAGAATTTGGCTACAAATTTATTATTCTGGTCCGGAGGATAAAGGACCTGGTGAAGAAAATGGAAGGAAAGGGAGGGGAGTTCAAAGGGTCAGTTCCAGAGAAAGGGATGACCTGGAAAAAAGTTGAGGTGGAAGGTACAATATAGCAATGCTGTGTTATTTCTTGCCCCCACTATCTTATATGCCACCAACTGCTGACCCACAATAGCTTATTAAAAGCTTGATTAATAAGTAAAATGTACACAGCTAGACTATGTTCCTGTAATTTACCTCTTGAACATGAATACTTTTATATACTCTAAGGCCCTGACCAGTTTGGCTCAGTGGATAGAGCATCAGCCTGTGGACTCAAGGGTCCCAGGTTCGAGTCCGGTAAAGGGCATGTACCTTGGTTGCAGGCACATCCCCAGTGGGGAGTGTGCAGGAGGCAGCTGATGGATGTTTCTCTCTCATCAATGTTCCTAACTCTCTATCCCTCTCCCTTCCTCTGTAAAAATTCAATAAAATACCCCAGCCGTAGGCAGCTGCCTAGGTGGCCTCGTAACTAGGTGTTACACTGCTGGGAGAACAGCAGTCAGAAGCTGGCTGGCATCTTGGGCCTGGTTCCTGCCAACTCTGTTGTTACCTATACCAGGATGCCCGCATAATTAGAAAAAAGAAAAAGAAAAAAATCAATAAAATATATTTTAAAAAAGAAAGAAAGTAATTTTGAATTAAACATGGCTGGCTGAACATATACAATGCTTCAGAGATGCCTCTGGGGATGAACACCAAAGGTGAGCAGCACACAGGAAAGCTGCAGTGCTAGGGCCTGGTTTAATGAAAAGACAACCTGACCTTCAGGGTGGCAGAAGAAAGTATTCCCATCACTACTGCCTCAAATCCAGATAACTGATGTCCACTAAGTAACAAAAACTTGCAAATTAGCACCTTCCTAATAATAATAAGCCTGGTATAGAGCAGCAACATGGATTTGCTTAAAAGTTATTTTCTCCTTTTCTGTGTGAAAAATTTCACAATAAAAGTATAAATAAATCAAATAATCAGAGTTGAGTAGTTACTGAGGAAAAACATTTTATTCTTAATAAAAAAATTTAAGAATCATTAAAATATCTTGTTAAATTTAGATTATTTTAAGTCTTGTTTGTTTTATATAAAACACATTTGAATAAAAATGCCATTTACTAGTCATTTCTTGGCAACAAAGTCTTGAAGAGATATGGCAGTGAATAATCACAGGGGGAAAGTATTAGACAACTCAGCGTACACAAAAGCCATAAAGGGGGGCGGCCTGACAACTCCTCATGGCGGCAGCTGCTGGTGGGGTGCAGTGGGGCGGTGACAGAGCTGGTGCCTGGCAGGTGTGCGCCGAGCTCCGGCCTGGCCTCCACGTGCCCCCGGGCTCTGCACCCCTGATGCTGCTCGGGTGCTGACCCGCCTGGCCGGGACAATGGTGAAGTATTTCCTGGGCCACAGCGTGCTCCGGAGTTCCTGGGACCAAGTGCTCGCTGCCTTCTGGCAGCGGTACCCGAATCCCTATAGCACACAGACGACACGGTGCACCGGGAGGAGACCCCTGACCAGAAGCTCCTGTCTTGGAGACTCCTGACCAAGACCAACAGGATGCCCCGCTGGGCCGAGCGACTATTTCCTGCCAATGCTGCTCACTCGGTGTACATCCTGGAGGATTCTATTGTGGACCCACAGAACCAGACCATGACCACCTTCACTTGGAACGTCAACCACGCCCGGCTGACGGTGGTGGAGGAACGATGGATGTGTTTACTGTGTGAACTCTGATAACAGCGGCTGGGCCGAAGTCCGCCGGGAAGCTTGGGTCTCCTCTTGTCTGGCGTCTCCAGAGCTGTCCAGGAATTTGGTCTCCCCCGGTTCAAAAGCAATGTGACCAAGTCAGTGAAGGGTTCTGAATGCATCTTGGCCAAGCTGCAAGGTGAGGCCCCTTCCAAAACCCTTGTTGAGACAGCCAAGGAAGCCAAGGAGAAGAAAAAGGAGACGGCACTGGCAGCTACAGAGAAGACCAAGGGACCTTGCCAGCAAGGCAGCCACCAAGCAACAGCAGCAGTTTGTGTAGCCAGTGGAGAACCTGGTGTGGGAGCACACCCCACCACCTGCAGCACTCCCTCTGCCCTCCCCGCTGTATTTTATTATTAAAAGTCAACTTCCAGCCTGATCTACTCTCTGGGTAGTGGGTTGGAAGTAGTATCTGTTTGGCACCTACAGTGCATCAGACCTGTTATCCATGTCTGGGCCAGGCCTGCTTCTTCCTGCATTGGATAGCTGAGGAGAGATTTGCCCAGGGTCATGGACAGCATTCAGGCAAAGTGGTCATAAACACTAGGCGAGAGAGAGAGAGAGAGAGAGGTGGGGAGGAGAGAGAGGGAGAGAGAACAGCTTAAGAATGAAGTAAAAAAGTGTGCCAGATCAACCGAAGGACTTGTATGCATGCATATAAGCATAACCAATGGACACAAGACACTGGGGTGTAGGGGAGACCAGGGGATTGTCAAGGGGGGAAAAAAAGAAAAAAGGAGACATATATAATACTCTTTGTAATACTTTAAGCAATAAAAAAAAAATGTGCCAGAAAATTCCATCCAACTGGAATCCCTGATATAACAAAACAAAACAAATCAGTATCTGAAATTAGATTGGTTGGGTAAGAGAATTGATAACACTTGAATGTATTAGTAGGTTGAAAGATTAGGTTGAGGAATTCCCAAATATGCTATATTTCAGGGGGAGAGGGATGAAGAGATAGAAAATATAAAAGAAAATTTGAGGATAGAAATAGAAATACCATGAACAATACTACAGAAGTTCCAGGAAAATAGGAGAAAATAGAGATAAGATAAGAATTTCTCAGAATTAAAGTAAATTCAGATTGGATTCATGGATAATAGAGACCATTATAAACTTTTGAACAATAATAGATACAGAGGCAGAGCTGCCTCAAACAGATTGTCAAACTGCAGCAGGAAGGCCGGGGAGGGTTGGGGGGCAGGAGGTAGGGGGGTAAGAGATCAACTAAAGGACTTGTATGCATGCATATAAGCATAACCAGTGGACATAAGACATTGGGGGACAGGGGAGGCTAGGGGACTGTCTAGGGCGGGGGGATAAAATGGACACATATGTAATACCCTTTGTAATACTTTAAGCAATAAAAAAAATAAATAAATAAAAATAATAAATAAATAAATAAATAATAATAGCAAACAGGAAAAAAAAAAAAAGAATTAAAGTAAATTCAGATTGGAATAGCTAAGTGCCAAACAGATACTTAAGAACAGACG